ATATTCCATTGTGTATATGTACCACCTCTTCTTTATCCATTCATCTACTGATGGACATTTAGGTTGCTTCCATGTCTTGGCTATTGTAAATAGTGCAGCGATCAACATAGCGGTGCATCTGTCTTTTTCAAATTGGAGTGCTGCATTCTTGGGGTAAATTCCTAGAAGTGGAATTCCTGGGTCAAATGGTATTTCTATTTTGAGCATTTTGAGGAACCTCCATACTGCTTTCCACAAAGGTTGAACTAATTTACATTCCCACCAGCAGTGTAGTAAGGTTCCCCTTTCTCCACAACCTCGCCAAAATTTGTTGTTGTTTGTCTTTTGGATGGTAGCCATCCTTACTGGTGTGAGATGATATCTCATTGTGGTTTTAATTTGCATTTCTCTGATGAGAAGCGATGTGGAGCGTCTTTTCATGTGTCTGTTGGCCATCTGAATTTCTTCTTTAGAGAACTGTCTATTCAGCTCCTCTGCCATTTTTTAATTGGATTATTTGCTTTTTGTTTGTTGAGGTGTGTGAGCTCTTTATATACTTTGGATGTCAACCCTTTATCAGATCTGTCATTTTCTAATATATTCTCCCATACTGTAGGATACCTTTTTGTTCTATTGATGGTATCCTTTGCTGTACAGAAGCTTTTCAGCTTGATATAGTCCCATTTGTTCATTTCTGCATTTGTTTCCCTTGCCCGGGGAGATATGTTCAAGAAGAGGTCACTCATGTTTATGTCTAAGAGATTTTTGCCTACACTTGTTTCTAAGAGTTTTATGGTTTCATGACTTACATTCAAGTCTTTGATCCATTTCGAATTTACTTTTGTGTATGGGGTTAGAGACTGATCCAGTTTCATTCTCTTACATGTAGCTGTCCAGTTTTGCCAGCACCATCTGTTGAAGAGACTGTCATTTCCCCACTGTATGTCCATGGCTCCTTTATCGAATATTAGTTGACCATATATGTTTGGGTTAATGTTTGGAGTCTCTATTCTGTTCCATTGTGGACTTTAGATTTTTAATCATTATCTTTGTTTCTGCTTTCCCTTTGATTCATTCCTTTTTTTGTTTTTGATTTTTTTGTTGCTCTTGTTTCTTGTTTTTCTCCCTGTTTCTCTTGTGAGTGGCTTTCCTCAATATATGCACATTCTCAGTTTGTTTTAATATTGAAGACAGAGGTGCTCAAAGGCTGACTGGCAGTTCTGCATACATGGGCCACGCTTGTCAACTTGTGATTGATCAGGTGACCCAACTAGTTCATGTGGAAACCCCAACTGTCAGAAAAGGCTGTCTGTTTTTCTTGGGCCACACTCCCTAGGGACAAATCCTCTTACCTGGTGGCTTATGAGATGAGAAGTCAGTCCTAGGTGACAGGCAGGGAATGGGGTGCTGTGGACCCTCAGCTCTGCACATGCGCTTGGGCTTGGTTCCTTCGGGGCAGTGAGGTACCTTGCGGGGCTCTCAGCCAGGCCCAGCATTTTGTGGTCCAGACTCCCATGGCTTTGTTTCTCCAGCTAGTAACAACTCATTTGGGATGGAAGAGATTAATTAACCCCTTGGGGCTTGATTCATTCCACCTTTTTTCTTTCACCCTTTAGGCAATAAGTAGAGTGGAAAAAGATCACAACCAAAGTCTTACCTTTAACCCGTGTATAAGCCTTTTTATAGCACTTATGACAAGAGAATTTCAGTTATTTGTGGGGTTTGTATAGTAGACTATGTTTCTGAATGTAAGCATTTAACAGTGTCTTAGGTCAGTTTCTCCCACACATTAGACCCCAAAGCAAGGTTTGGATGTGAGTGATTTATTAAGGGAGTGTGCCCAGGAGCAGCTGGTAAGGACAGGGGAAAGCAGGACAGACGAGGGGAAGAAACTAGGAGTCCAGCAGCAGGTGAAGCTCCAATTTCCTGATTCTGAGGGAAGCTGTGCCTAATAATGGTAATGTTCGAGTGTACCCCACTCCAGGCAAAGGGGCTGGGCTGTGGCACTTCCCTACCAGTCACTGGGTAAGGAATATGGTGATATGGGGGAAGCAAAAAAACCCCAGGTGTTTTGGCTATCAGTACTGGCAAAATGATCCCACTGCCCAGAGGGAATCCTCTGAAGATCTTGCGCGTGAGCCATTACCAGCAAGTCATGTGGAAGCTGGAGAATGGGTCTCAGTGCTGCTAAAGTGGACCTGAGGAGAGCAAAGCAGGCACCTACAGTATCCGCTAAATCCTAGGGTCTTCCCCAAACAATCATTGAATAAAATGTACAAATGGACATCCCTCATAATTATGAAACACTTTGCCGCTGACAGAGGCTTGGTGTTTTTTTTCCCCCCATCTCTTATTGTAACTGATCTTCTGAGCAATTTTATAAGCAGAGAAGAACAATGTTAATATCCTTATTTTTCAAGAGTCAAATAAGCAGAGATTAAATGACTTTTCTAACATGTTCAGATTCTAAGTCTAAAGTTTATTCCAGCTTTCTGCACTATATTTATGAGTTTCATAAATATTTTATATAGACATGGAGTATACATAAATTATTTAATCTGAGTATCATGATGAGTTTTATAATTTAAAAAATACAGAAAGTTTTGGAAGGAATAGTTTGCTTTTCATTTAAAAAATTACTTCCATTTAGGCCAACTGACACATAGAAAAATTGGGTTAAATGGCAAGCTCTGTATTAGATGGCTTTGTAGTTTAATTCCCACCATCATTCAAGGCTTCTCTCTGTGTTTCATTACTTAGATGGTTTAATTAAAGCCAAAAAAACATATTAAAGGATTCCTGGAGCACAGTAGGAGGTAAATTTATTTAGAATGTACTTGTAGTTTGACCATAATTTTCCCATATGGGCATATTTATGCATAATACTTATGACTCATGACATTTCTGCCAAAATATGGATATTCTTCCATAAATATTTCCAGGAACTCATACCATCAGTAACTGACACATCACACATTTCCTTCTTCTAGTTCAAGAATCACTTACTGATAAAGAGTCTATCTTTTCCTCTCTGCTCCTGCTGACATTAGATCACCCACTAATAGGAATCTCTCAGTAGATATGAAAAATTCTGAGAAGTTAAAAAAACAGGAGTTTACCCCATGGATTTACTCAGAACTAAATAGCTCCTGTCACTTGAACTCTTTGTCCTTTCTGGATGATCTAAAACAGTGCTTCATAAACCTGGTGCTTTATAAACCTGGCACATTAAAATCACCTGGGGAGCTTTAAAATACACAGATGCCCTGGCTCTGCTCCAGACCAGTTACATCAGACTCCTAGGCAGTGGTCTAAGTTTAAAGCTCCCATGTGATTCTGTCTTGCAGCCAAGGTTGAATACACTCATTTGAAACAGAAGACATGAGACAGGTCCATTGGTGTCAGGAATAGACTTGGCTGTGTCCACATCTTAGTAACAGGTTTCCACTTCCTTTTAAGCTCAGAATTTCTCCATTTATTTTGGTCTTTTTTGCAAGCCTGGTCAGCCAATTTGAGGTCACAGTGAGGCCAAACAAATGCCTGATGATATCATATCTAGGTCCTAGTAGCACTTGTTTGGTGTAGTTTGAACAGAGTAGAAAAAAGAACTATTGTAACTTGTACAATCTGAGAATTGAAGCTTTTTTGTACGTGAATGCATCCGAGCTTCACTCTCTCTCTCTCCTTGAGCTCTTCAGAAAGGGGATCAGCAATTATTTCCTGTATTTTCAGTTCACCTTTTGTATCTGCCATCCACTATCCTCCTGATTTGTTACTATTTCCTAACTCTGGTCCCTTACATGTCAGTACAAGGAATCACCTGTGACACCTTCAGAAATATAATTCCCTAGTCCTTAAAGATGCCTATTTATTAGACCAAGGAATCTGCATTATTATATTTTTTAACTTGCTCCCTGTATAATTCTTATGCAAGTAATACAGAGACCCCATTTTGAACAACAATACTCTTAATTTCTCTAGTTGTTATTGTTAATTTTTCCAGAATGATGGAAGCAATAAAATCTAATTTAAAAAGATACTCATATATTGATCTTTTGCTTCATCACATATTGTGAGTTAGCAAATGAAAATCCACTCATCTGATATACAGTGCATACACACACACACACACACACACACACATCTGTTAATACAGAAGTGATGTATTTATAACTCAGCATTGCTGAATGAACTTAATGAATTTAATGATTATTTGCTATTTATGAAAAAATATTTTATAGAATAAGTTATCTATATTTCAATTCTAATTGGCCTAGAATATTTAATGACATTGGACTTTTATTTAGGAGGTATTATGTCTCTCCAAGATAGAGATTTTATTATGAGGTGATAATATGAAACTTTTTCTTTTTTCAGGGGATAAGTCAGGTTTTAACTAAAAACTTTCAGGGATATTATAAAACTTAGTAAAATAGTAGATCATGTGTGTTTTACTTTTTAATGTAGTTCAGCTTATAACTTTGATAGTAAATATTAGGCATTTTTTAAATGTTGTATTTTAAAATCTTGCATGCTATGTATCATAATTGGAAAACAAAACTGTTGCTTTGAAATGATAAACTGCATCAAACCATATTAATATCTTAAAATAGGCTATTAACATTTAAATAAAGTAACAAAGCATTTATATGCTTTAAATTTACAGATAGTAATTTTTAAATGGTTAACATGCTTTACATTTAAAAATTTGAGATCAACTTTATTCCTTTGGGCCTACTGAAATAATTTTAGTTTTCTTTCCAGTAAAAACCTTCAAGTAAAATACTTAGAAAAAGTGTCTTTTAAAAAAAATCTTTGATTAATAGAAAGTGTATGTGATTAAGAAATATATTTACATTTTCATATGATATAAAGTGATATAAATGAATAACTTATGTTTATGAATTTTGTTTGAGTACTATCATATCATATATATTCTATTATGCTATGTTATAGTTCAAAATTATTTTTAATGATATGTGATGTGGGAAACCCTGTGTCTCACAAATGACTGTTTTCAGTTTCTTGGCAGCACAGAAGTGGAGCAGCCCAAAGGGACAGAAGTTGTGAGAGATGCTGTAAGAAAGCTAAAGGTAGGGAAAGCCCTCCAAATACATTTCTAGTGTATTGATCCTGTTTTAAGTCATCAGTAAATTGATGAGCATTCAAAGCATGAATAGCTTTGTGGCAGGTAATGCTTTGCCCTGTTAAAAGTACTATTGACTAAATATCACCAGATTGATGAAACACATTTAATAATAAATATGTATACACAATTACTTTTCTGAATGTGGCACACTCCTCATATTTTTCTAAGGTGAAATTTCTCATACTCAATGACAAAAAAAAAAAAACGGTAATGGCAATGTTTCATATGTGTTGATATTTAGTAGCTTGCCTTTCCTTTACTTTGCTTGGGCAATGTGGACTTACACCCTAATTCAGTAAGGCCCATCCCAAAGACATTGTTCTTATTGAGATTTTAAGGTCTGAAAAACTCTTTCAACAGAATTCTCACCCTTACTTCATTGAAAAAATCTGACATGACACTACTTTGCACAATTGTTATTTTCTCTCACTGCTCTTGCAATTTGTTTGAGAAACAACCATCTCTAACTTTATTTAGTTTAGAGATCATCCAGTTATTCCACAGGAGGTTTAGGCCTCTGATTGTGCCAGGCAAAATCATAAACATTAGAAAGTATCACTTTGCTTCAAGAATGTCATCTCAGAATCTGCTAAGTGTTAAAATTGAGGAAAAAATGAAGTGGGATCACTTATATTTGAGGTGAAGAAATAGAAGTGGATAATATTTGTATCCATCCAATTTACATGTAAATATTTTACTTAATGCTTTTAAGTAAACACACAAAAAAGTCCTAAGATGACCTCACTCCCATCTGGAAAAGAAGGTGGACTAGCCAACCATTTCTTTCCACTATTTATTAGGTAATAATTTAGACTTGCCCTTATTTGACCAATATTTTTAAACACTAATAATAGAGAATATAAAAGGCCTCACAGTTTATGGACAATATTTGTAATAAGGTTCTGTTTAAATGTTCAAAATATTGCACACTCTGGGCTTGAGTCCACCTTGACTACAATCAGAATGTTTCATAGAAACATAATGGTATTTACACTTAATGTTTCTTTATACATAGAAGGTTCTTTATTCAGTCAACCCAAATCCATACCAAAAGGATTCAATTGCATAATGACTAGATAAAATGTAAAGAGATATTTGAAATGAAAAGCTTTTAAACAATGACAAGTTTCATGCATTTTGGTGAGAATTTATATCCAATTCCTAGGTGGTTTCATTTTTGGAAATTATTCTGTTAATAAAAGAATATAATTTACAACAAGATAAAAATTATGCAGCATAGTTTAAAAATGCATACTCATTTGACAGTACCTTTTGTCTTTCAAATGTCTTCAGAATAAATTTTAAAAGCCATCCTTATGCTGCTGATTGCAAAAATTTTATAGACCAGGGAAGTATATCTAAGGGTAATATCTCAGGAATTAGTTAAAATGAATAAAACAATGCTTTTTATATATTTTTATTTCAATATTTTCTTGTTTCTTGGTGTTAGAGGTCAGAGACTACAATTCAAAGCATGCAAGAGTATATATATATATATATACATTTATTTAAAAAAATGTAGACCCTGGCTCTTTAATTCTGTTGTCATGTAGAAATGGCCAGAAGATGGTGCTATGGCTCTACTAAAAAAAAAGAACTTTGCTCATTAACTACTTTGTGTACACATCCCCCATTTTAATTTCCTTCTTACTTTTTCTAAAGCATATGGATTCTGACTGCTTTTTTACCCACTATAGTTCAGTATTTGATTTTATTCACCACATAAGGTAACATTTTACTTATATTTGTTCATTTTTCAAAAGTTTACAGTATTAATGTATTGGTTTCTGACATTAACAAAGAATACAAAATTTAGGACTAATACAAGATGATAGAAAACTTGGAAGATTTTCAATAAGTGCTTTTAATGCTTCTGTTTTTAATATTGATTATTTTTTAAGAAGAACTTTTAAATTTTGATATATGTTATTATATTGCTGTAATTTTGTGGGAAATTTAGTTTTCTTAAATTTTTCTTAAAAATAATAATTTTTGTCTTAATGTTTTACTTTTAGACTGTGTATTTGTCAAAATAGCACATGTTCTGTTTCCCAGATCATGTTCAACAATTTCTACTTCTTAATTATGTTTTATCCTGAGGTTTAAGAAAATACCATATTTTCCAAAATGTAATAATTTAAAAACCTTTCAACTTCTATATATTTAATAGCATTGTTTCTATAATGGTTTTAATTTTTTTAGTGTTTCACTTATTTTTATTAACACAGCTACTACAAACGTCAGAGGGCTCAATGTATTTCATAATCTGCTTTACATGTGGATGACTACTGGTACATAGATCCTAAACTTCTTGATTTCCCTAGGAATTAACCAAAGGATAGCATTCTGGACCTCAATTTTAGAGGAGATGCCCCTCACCCCAGTGAGCTAAATTAAAATTACATGAAGCTGCCTCAAGGAATGTGGCCTTGAGTATTGCTGTTGAGTTCTATTAACTCATGTCTTTTTCCATACTACGTCTGTGTAGCATAGCATTCTGTTTTTTTCTTCATCAATTAATCAAATGTTTATATCTTAATTAACTATATCAATACATAAAATTGATTTTCCTTTAATAATATCATATTATTAAGAATATGTTAATTGAACTAACAATTACAGTATAAGAAATGAAAAGAGGAATAGTGGCTCTGAATATTTGGCCCAAAGTAATAAATGCATTAATTTTCTTGCCTAATAATGTACATTCCATTAGTAATATAGTTAGATGTCATTTTTTAAAAAGTCCTCTGATAAATGGGTACAAATTGCATGATGATGACATTGAAACTAGTAATGGTCCCTTTAAAATTTTTTTAGCTGTTCTACTTACCAGTGGTATATACTTAACTAAGCAGTTCATGTATTTCAAGTAATACTTTGTCCTTCCCCATCATTTTATGGCTGTAAGGGCCAAGGGCTTGTTTTTGTATATTTGTTTATGTATCCAAATCTCCTCCAGGATGCTTAGGTGTTACCCACTTTGAATAATTTTTATTGGATTATTTCATACAAATTTTAATGGTAGATCACTGTCTGGATAACCAAGAAATGAATCCACTGAAGCAAAAGTGGAAAGAAATTTGCAAACAGGCTCTTCAAGCATTAGTAGTCAAGTAGTAAGTAGAGAGAGACAGACATAATGTAAGTAAAAATTATAAGCATTCTGAACATGTAATTACAAGTATTTTAGAGCACAGTTAAAAGGGCTACCAGAAGGAACATGTAAGCTATAGGATGCAGTAATATTAAATTTTAGGAAAAAATGGGTAGAAATAAGAATATTATACTCTGTTTAAAATATAAAGAATATAACCTTAGGCATAAGTGTTTTGCAACATCTGTGCAACCATCAAGTTTGATAATTGGTATAAACTTTTATATACAAGATGATAGAACTAGGGAGTTTGTTTTTCTTTTTTTAGAGAAGTCTCTCATATTTATCGATCAAATGGTTGTTAACAACAATAAAATTCTGAATAGGGGGGTCAATGCTCAATGCACAATCATTAATCCATCTCAAGCCTAATTCTCGTCAGTCTCCAATCTTCTGAAGCATAACTAACAAGTTCTTATATGGTGAACGAATTCTTACATAGTGAATAAGTTCTTACATGGTGAACAGTACAAGGGCATTCATCACAGAAACTTTCAGTTTTGATCACGCATTATGAATTATAAACAATCAGGTCAAATATGAATATTCATTTGATTTTTATACTTGATTTATATGTGGATCCCACATTTCTCCCTTTATTATTATTATTATTTTTATTTTTAATAAAATGCTGAAGTGGTAGGTAGATGCAAGATAAAGGTAGAAAACATAGTTTAGTCTTGTAAGAGAGCAATTGTAGATGATCAGGTGTGTGCCTGTAGACTATGTGTTAATCCAAGCTAGACAAGGGCCTTAAAACATCCACGGATGCAGAAGATTTCTCTCAAAACAGGGAGGGTGAGGTTCTAAGCCTCACCACTGTTGATCCCCAATTTCTCACCTGATGGCCCCCCTGCGACTGTGCCTGTCTTAGGTTGTTCCTCCCTTGAGGAATCTTACCTGTCTCCGGCTAACCAGTCATCTTCCGGGGCCATACAGGGAGATATGAAGTTGGTAAGTGAGAGAGAAGCCATATTGTTTGAAAAGGTTAGCTTTTTACTTCTTTGCAGATTTATGCCCTGTGGCTTCTATGCCCAGCACTTGTCTCGAGGTATCTTTACCACCTGGAAGAATTATGATGCTCGGTAAATTCAATACGAGGCACGAATTCTACTTAAGGGTTGTAATTAGGAAGGAAGAAGAAAAGCTATAGAGGTAGCATATGGAAGAAAACATGGGAGGATTGATTGTTTCTTTGACATGTCTTCTTGTAGAGTACCTTAAGCATGTATAGGTTTTAAACTACTAACTAACTTGTGCACACATATTAACATAATAGGAATACGGTGACATAAACTAAGCAAATCTATAATTACCAGCCATCTCCAGTGAAGCCAAGAAAACCAGTTAGGCACCCTAGGCATTTGTGAGAATTTGTCTATGATATGATGGATATTGTCCAACTGTACTTGAATAGTCTGAGAGAAATCAGACAAAGCAACCCATTTCTGGGATCTGTTCACATCCCATATGTTCTTTTAACTGTAGATAGTCTGTAGTCGTAAGATTTTGGAGCACTACAACTTGCACCCCTCCCAACTCCTGGTTGAGTTCCAACAGTACGGATTCACTCAAATTCGTTGTCTCACTGTATGCACATGCCAGCCTAGACATCTCCCTCCTCATTCCAGTGGCAAGTCCAGGAAACGGTGGGATGGACGCAGCCACAACTGCAGCATCGCCCAGATCCCTGTGGAGGCTTTTTGATGATCATCCCCTGGCACGAGTCCTCCAGAGAGTGCTGATGCCGGAAGCTCCTCCTCATATTGTATCTTAGTTCATTTTCTGGGTAGCCAAGCTAGGCCTTGATCTTCTGCATAAAAACAAACAGACCCTTTGCCCACACTTTGACATGCCCTCTATACCACTGTGCAGAACTCATTGGAGGTCAGCACACAGGAACTGCTTTTTTTTTTTTTTATTAAGAGAAAGGAATATTATCAGAAAAGAGTACCTCCATAGCCGATCATCTGACACCCTTTAAGTGATCAAAATTAAGGATATTTAAAGCATGCGTTAATCTTTGATTTACCAATAGTTTTATCCTATCAAGGAGTAATCCCCCTTTTCTTTCTTTCTTTCTTTTTTTTCCTTTTTTTTTTTTATCTTTAATCTACACTTACATGAAGAATGCTATGTTTACTATGCTCTCCCCTGTACCAAGTCCCCCCTAAAAACCACATTACAGTCACTGTCTATCAGCATAGCAAAATGTTGTAGAATCACTACTTGTCCTCTCTGTGTTGTACAGCCCGGGAGTTTGTTTTTTTAAATGCAGAAAATATGTTACGCAAGAGAAAAGTGGTATTTAAGGGTAGGTGTGAAACTAGATTCTAGTCCTGATGGCTACAAACCAATTTTATGACCAAAGTATTGGATTGGATCCTCTGAATCTTCTTTGAGCACAATTACTTCATCTTGATATGCAATGAAGAAAAAGAAGCCTTAGATCAGATATGTCACGTTTCTTTTTTTAATTTTATTTTCTTGTTTCCCTTCCTTGCCTTCTTCCTTCCTCCCCTCTTTATTTTTTTCTACCTGTAGCCCCCACTTTCTTTCTTTTTCCCCTTCTTTTTCCTGGCAGAAAAGAAATAACAGATAAGTTTAATATTATTCATTGTTTTATGATAGACTTTTGGAAATGAAAAGAGGTCACAAGAATGGTTGTGTCCAGATGTGGAAAAGGCATGAAGAGCCCCTGGTCACTGCCTGCTTCTGGAAAAGAGGAGCACCTGGGAAGTCGGCGTAGAAGACTTCCACAAGTCAAGATGGGAATGGCTTTGTTCAGATTGCTCACATAGACAGAGGACAGCTGCCTTATTTTCTAACTCCTCAGTATAAAAACTCCCAGGTTGTTTTAATTATGCCTATACAGGAAGGAGATTGTGAAAGGAAAAGGAACAAAGTTAATCCACTTTCTTTGGGAGAGAGAAGGGATAATTTTTAAACATGTGAAGTAAAACAAGTTTCTTAAGGACCGAAAAAAATTATCTGGCACAAATTACTTGAATTCATGCATAGAATCCCGGATGCTGGAAACAAAAAGCTGCCTTCATAGAACACGACAGATAGCAAGCTAAAACATTATACCACCCAAAAGGAAATAAAACAAATGGTACCCCCTCTCCCCTCCAGGATATCAACGCAGGATTTAAAGACATTCATTCATGTATGGATTAATTATTTTACTCTCTATGGCAGTGCAAAGCCATGAAAAGAGTAAAAAGGCCTTTAACCATGCTGTGCTCCAGGTCTGAACTATATGCCATGTGTATTCACATCTGCCCTAAATTAGAGAGAAATGCACAGTGTAAATAAATATGACACACAAAAAAGGACTGAATCCCCACACTGCCCTATGTATGATCTATTTTGAGTCAGGATAGGATGATCCATATGCTGAACCAAAGTTATACTAGGAAATAACATTTTGAAGCCCTAAAAGAAGGGTAAGAAATCCAATTTTTTAAAACAGCTTTTCCCCCCTATCTCTTATAAAGAAAGGTGAGAGGGAGAAAAGAAGGAAAATAGGGAAGGAGTATTACTGCCAGATAAAATCAGTACACTTAATAAACTTTGATTTTCACATAAACAATAATCGTTTTGTGTAAGTATGTCCCAAATATTGCCCAGAACATACACATGCTATATGTGTGTATATATATGTGTGGAGTGTATCTGTGTATTCCAAAATAAAAACTTTAAAAAATTTTGTTTCATATTCCAAGTTAGCTGGGCTCCTGTAATTTTTTCCACCACTAAATCTGGCCATGCTAGGAGGGAGGTAGAAACTCCATCTTCTGTATGTGTACTCTGATTTTCTTCTTGATTTTATAAGAAAGTCTACCAAATATTTGCATACACTTTACTAATTCAATAAGAAGATACAATACATACTACCGAAAGCACTGAAAATGTTTTATGTTTTCAAAATACTCATATTTGTAATTCTACACACAATCTTTTTATGAGTCTTATAGCTGGGGTAATTATTTCAAGTTCTTAGCTTCAGTCTGAATATGATGTCTGTCTCTTCATTTATTGTTTTGATTGGGTAAGACAGTATACCACATGAGGTAAGTATCTAGAAATGGCAAAGGTGGTGTATCCAGCACCGGTGAACTGCAAGTCCACAAACAAAAGATCCATAGGAAAATAAATTGATTTCTGCTAATCTTTCCCAAAAGAGCTTTCATTTTCTCAACTGTTTGGTATAAATACCATTGTTTAAATATTATGAAATAGTACATTAAAAATGTCTTTAAAAGTTATTGAAAAGCAGTCTGATTTTCATGATAGGAGTTATAGATTACTATGATTTCTAAATATTTTTAAGGTATTGTAGGATTTATAAAATGCTTTATAATGAACAGTTATTTACTTAATGAAAGTTCGACATTGAATAAAATTTCTATATATTTGTCAGTGTCCATTCTTCATAGAAGCAAAATTATAGTTTTTTGAATAATTTTTCATTTGCAGTTTGCAAGACATATCAAGAAATCTGAAGGTCAGAAAATTCCTAAAGTTGAGTTGCAAATATCAATTTATGGAGTAAAAATTCTAGAACCCAAAACAAAGGTAAGCCCCTTTTTTTTTGAATGTCAGAAGCACTCTCATCTTATTAACATTATGTTCCTATTGTAATATATATTTAAAATTTGTTACCAACTGCAATTGTTTAGTTCTCAGTAAATAACAATTTAAAATTCCATAGGATTTTTTGAAAAAAAGCAACTTTGGGGATTACTTCCTGTCCTGAGTGGTCTGTTCTTCAGCTTCTGTTTAACAGTGTTTGGTCTTGTATTTAGGAATTGTTTTTCATGTGCTGTGAAAGAGATGCACAAAGTGTGGCTCACAGAGTATGAAAGAAGACAAAAGCTGTGTGCTCTTTGTTAAAATGTCCTGGACTGACCTTTATTGCCTGTAGACATAATCACTATATTTTCATTCTATCAAACTTGAAGAGTGATCTTGGAGTTTTAAAATCTGTGAAATCCCTTATAAATTCAATTCTATTACATATAAATAGAGAGCAACTGACTCTTTACCCATGTATTATATATGAGCATAGAATATCATAGAGTGTTTACCTATATATAGAATGTACAATTTTTTCAACCCATTTTTTTTAAAAAAGGGGGTAATCTAAGGAAGGGATTTACTTGCTCTACTGAGCATCAGTGTTCCTACGAGACTCCTGGGAATGCCTGTTGCTAAAGTCCACCCAGATCTTTTAGATTCAGAAGCTGCTGAACAAGACTTAGCATCTGTATGAGAAATAAACAAACAAAAAAGCCTCCCCAGGTGACTCTGATACAGCCTGTTCACAGACATGCGTTTAGGAACCACTATTTGAGGAGCCAGAAGTACATCAGAAAAAAATCTGTTGTTCATTTTATCTTGGGTATGAATTGTAATTTAGAAAAAACACAAATAAATATGATGCTCCAAAAATCAATTTATAGTACAATATACCTGTATGAAACAGGATTTAAAAATTTTATTATTAATCTAACACAGACTTGATAGAAAATAGACTCTTTCTATCCCAAATGGAAGTGAAAAGCAATCTCACTTGGCTCCCAGATCTTTCTATGTCTTTTGCCCTCTCTGCTTTTCTCACTTGTCCCCCTAAAAGAAGATTATGTCATGCTGGCAAGAGGTGGTATAACTGAATTGGGGAATTTAATTGGTGATGTACTTTTTTTCCCCATCTGTTAATATTGAAGGATAATTGTGTTCTCGCTAAGCTTATTTCATTTCCAAGTATCTTACTCCTGTCTCACCAAAAATTAATACTACATTTAAAATTCATAAAAGATCTACCAAAACAAAAAAAAATTTCACAAGAATGATAAAACTGCAAGTTTCAATTCTCTAGCTTCTTTTGTAGGAAGACACCTATGCTAATCTAAACAAAATTAAGATGATTCTCAATTATCCTAACCAAAGGCTGTGATCATACTAATTGGTGAGTGAATGAGGGACTGCATAGGTTTTACCATCTATGTAAATGGTGTGTTTTCACATTACTTGTAATTTTTATTGTAAGTGGAAAAACATGAATAATTTTTCTATATTGAATACCAATGATATTTCTTCCTTATGTGTCATTAACATGATTATACAATTAATAAGGTGGTGTAGACCTGCTGTCATATTTGGGAGCCACAGCATGGTTGAAGGCTATGATTTAATAGATTGTATTAACATTAAAACAAAAAATGTGTCAATGAGAAAGAAACTGGCCAATCACATAAAGTACAGGAGAATGGTAGTCTCAGACAAACTTGGTCATTGTCTGTCTCAGCACTAACCACAAGAAAGGGAAGATGCCCTCATCAGAGGCCTTAACAAGTTGAGCCTTTCTTTTCACATTCTTTCCTGCTGTGGAAATGGTTGGATCAGTCTATCTAGTAATGACAAAAACCATATTAGGATTCAGTATCTGAAAATCATACAATATACCTCCTCACATTAATTTTCATGCTTTTCAAGCAACCTTTTAATGACTTACCATTTGGTTTGCATGCAGGGAAAAAAGGCAATGTTGTAGACAAATCTTCTTAACATTTATTTGCGTGTCTCATTTTATGTACTCATTTTTAGTCTTATGAGCAGTAATATGAATCAGAGTATTAGATCAAATCTTGGCAAGTCGACACATCAAATCCTGAACTTGGAATGATGTAGTGACAGATGCTATAGTTGCAGTGTGTGTGTGCATATATATATATATTTGCACTATTTATCTTTCTATTGATTAGGGTCATTCAACAATTTGGATGCATAGACCTTCCTCATGAAGACATGTAAAATACAATTTAATAAGAAAACTAAGGGTGAAATGGTAGGCTGTTTCATGTGAAATTCTGTACAGATGAAGTTGTTTTAAATTTTAATGCTAATTAGTAGCAGTAAAATAGAATGAAAAGCATTCTGGTTTAAAAAGGGTCTGATCATTTTGCAACCTTGAAGTATCTTAATCTCTCAGGGCCTCAGTGTCATCTTAAGTAAAACACAGGGTTTAAAGTAATGGTCTTTTAAGATCCCTGTAGCTCACAAAGTCCGTAAATCTCTGATCCTCTTGTATTTTGTTGTTTTTTGAAGTCTTAGAGAAATGACTATCTTAGTTTAATCCTGAGTCAGGAGGTCCATCTTCCATTATGTATTTGTTTAAGTTTGGAGTGTATGTAATTATAAAACCAAACTCTGACCAATGATTGTTTCACTTTTAAAATCATAAGCTGTATGTTCCATTTCAGAAAATGGAAAAAAATCTTCAACTGTTTATTTCCATCTGTGTTCACAGGAAGTCCAACACAATTGCCAGCTTCATAGAATATCATTTTGTGCTGATGATAAAACTGACAAAAGGATATTCACTTTCATATGCAAAGATTCTGAGTCAAATAAACATTTGTGCTATGTATTTGACAGCGAAAAGTGTGTAAGTATGCCAGATGTTTTAGGGTGGTTTGTTCTGTTTTACAAGCCAGGAATTATCTTGTTTCCGGCATTAGTAAAGTATTTGGAAATGAAGAGTCTGCAAATACTTAACTACACTAATAGATTCATCCTGTCATGAAAATATGCTTCAGTATTTCATCCCTAACTAAATTCTCATGTTCATGGGCACTAGTTTGCATGCAAATTTCTCTTCTTAGAACATCATGCCTGCTTATGTTATGCATTTATTTATCTTACAATCATTTATTTGTAATTTTAATCTCAAGTATGATTTAGTACTATACTTATAATGCAAATAGTGATGGTGAGAAGAGTATTTTTTTTTCTGGAATGTGATAGATCTGATGGAAATAAATATTCTAAATCTCAGAAAAGAAAACGTGTATGGCTCCTTAAGAAAATTTTCAATAATTTGAAAGTCTGTATCTTGATTTTCATTATTCAGAAAACTTAATGTAATGAAAGGTAATAGAATTGTGTGTGTGTGTGTGTGTGTGTGTGTGTGTGTGTCTGGATGTGTGCATATGTGTTAGCTTGTGAATGTAATCTAAAATTCTTAGCAGGTAGAGCAATTAGAGACTTCCAAAGCTAAGTCCTGCAACAGTTCTGTAATCATATGGAATCTTAAGGAAAACCCCATGTCCTGATTATAAGCCTAACAAGCTAATGCTAATCATAACCTAGTCTAAGTTCCTGTTATAAAACATGAAGAGTGAAATCCAAGCATACATTGCATATATTGATGACTCTGATGAAGGAATAATTTCTGACCACAACATTATTGGCTTAGACATAAAAAGGGCTTAAAATTCATTTTTTGCTCATTTTTCATGCTGTCAAAATAGCATATTATTATGCTGTCATATATATTATATATATATGTACAATAATATTATTATCACTATTATGTAATTTATTTCTCTGACTTCAGTATGTGAGTTTCTTGAGAATGAAGTACCCTTAAATCTGTCAATACTTCAACATTGGGTGTACAATAGATGCTCACTGAATTTTTCTTAAAGAAAAGACCACGTGGAAGAACTTACAGAAAGCATAGCAACTTAATATCTCTATCTTTTAAATTATAGGGCTCCAAAAAGGCAAAGCAATGTGCTAAGCTACTTGGCGTCATAATATATTTTGAGAATTTTATGAACATTATAGATCATCTCATAAGAAAAATATGCTTACCCATATAAGACAATATTTTGTGCACATAAGGCATTTTATATGAAATTTATGTTGTTTTTGAAATTTGTGCTATTACATAACTGCATTATGTTTATATTCCAAGTGCTTCTTAACCATGATTATTTGTAGATGTTTTTCCCTATGTGATGGGGAAGATTAAGGTTGATATTTTTTGATTATATTCTATGTGCAACATATAATAACCTTTAACCACTTACACCAAACAGTAAACTCAGCTCTTTCTTGCCTTACACCTAGAAACAAACTTCCGTGGAGCCCTTTGAAATAGTCATAATCAGAGCTCATTGTAAATATTAGCCTTTTTATGTGTTTTAACTTTACTTGATCCCCATCCAAATTTGCTGGATTACTTGGATATAAACTTGCCAGAATCCCTGTGTAACTATCTTATCTTAGAAGGAGAGACTATTTCTTCCTGATCATATTGTTTGTAATTTATTTCCAGAATTCTAATTCCTTGACCCATTATTCTCTTTGGCTTCAGCATATTAGCTTTCTTTTTTCTTGTAAGTTGAAAATAATTTTTTGAAGCCTGCAACAGTGCCTCACAACCATTAGTGTGCATACATAGGCTGTTAAGGAGGGACTTTTATATACAGCCTTTTTGGTTCCCACTTCAAAAAAATAAGTTTATTTATTGGGACTGGTGTTCAGGAAATTTGCATTTAGGAAGTTCACCAACTATTTTCCTGCATCTAGATAGAAGTCTGAGCTTTGAAAAGTAAGGGTCCAAGATATTTCTCCAACTATAAGTTGATATCCCTTTCACGAGCATTAAGAGGATATATTTCCTCAGAGTTTCATTACATCATTTTCACTTCAAGGTTTTATTTTTCTCTAATTATAATGACTATATTAAGAAAACTGATTTGATATGTATGCAGAATTTTGGTTATGCCATCCTCTTTAATTATTACCTTTAAATAGCTAATCACAGAATATTAAAATAAGAAAATAAATTATGGCCCAGTTGGCACAACTGTTTCCTCCTATTTTAAGAAACCTAGGCCAAAGAGTTTGAATGACTTTCCCAAAGTCACAAAGCTATGTAGTAACAGAATCAGGATTAAAATTTAAAACTTTAGATTGCCCCTGTAGCATTTGTCTCATCATGCTATATTACTCTCACAACTGAGTTCCAGAGTTCCATCTGATCTGACAGGGGCCTTTATCTTACCTACTTACTGTATTTTATCTTTTCAGTACTTCTGTGAAATTGTTGATAGTTTGAGAAATAGATGAAACCTGTCCTACTATGCCACGATACTGGTATTCACTACTTTAGTAATGGTATCATGTCATATATTAATGAGTCTTCCTCCCTTCATAGTGACATGTGTGGAGCTGGAGTACTCAGCTCTGCTTAACAGTAATGAATAGAGTCCAAGTGAGCAAGCTTAACATCTATCCCCACCGGGCATTCGTGAGGCAGTGCTTTCCCATTCCCACTCCTCTACGGGAACTGTCTTATAGTGAGCCACCTGAAATACAAAGATTAAACAGTTTCTAGAGCCTCATAGCAGAATATCTAAAATATCTAGGATTCAGTTGAAAATCACTCATCATATCAAGAAACAGGAAGATCTTAAACTAAATGAATAACAAAAAATATGCCTTGTACATTGCAACACTGAGAATGGCTGAGATATTAGAACTACCAGATGTATTTTTTAAAAGCCATTATAAAAATAAGTTATAAACACTATGGAAACAAATTAAAAGCATAAAGTCTTATCAAAGAAATAGAAAATCTAAGCAAAGAAATAGAAGATATAATGAAAACCCAACTTGGAATATTAGCACTGAAAATAAAACAACCAGATGAAAAACTAACTGTATAGGCTCAATACTAGGATGAAGAAGACAAAGGAAATAATCAGTGACCTGAAAGATGGAAAACTAGAAAATGCCCAATCTGAACAATACACAGTTAATAACCCTATGTAAGTATACACACACACACACACACACACAAAAGCAATATAAAAACAAAAATAAAACAAAACAGACTCTCAGGAAACTGTGGGACTACACAAGATATCTAACATTTGTGTGTCTTCAGAGTCCTGGAAAGACAGAGAAAAAGAGGGCTGCCTTGAGAAAATGTGAGGAAGTAATAGTTGCAAAGCTTCCAATTGTGGCAAAAGATATAAATTTATACATTAAAGAAACTGAGTGAATGCCGAACAGGATAAACCCAAATAATTCCACACCAAGATACATCATAGTCAAACTTCTGAAAGCTAAAGACAAAAAAAATCTTGAAGTCTTGGGGGATATTATGTTTAGTATGCATGGTGTGGGGGATCACGTGGAGAACAGTGCAGCACGGAGAAGACACATAGTTGATCTGTGGCATCTTGCTGCACTGATGGACAGTGACTGCATTGGGGTGTGGGTGGGGACTTGTTAATACGGGTAAATGTATAACCACATTGTTTTTTCATGTGAAACCTTCATAAAAGTGCATATCAATAATACCTTAATAAAAAAAATTTTTTTAATAATAAAAATAAAGAAAGTAAAAAAAAATATCTTGACGTCAGCAAGACCTAAACAAGTCCTATAGCAGAAAATTAGTTTGAAAGCAGTTTGTTTCTCATTAGGAGCCATGAAAGCACGGAGAAAGTAACACAATGTATTTTCAGTGTTGAAAAACAAATTTTTAAACCTGTCAAACCAAAATCCCATAGCCAGAAAAAATACAGTTCAGGAATTAAACAGAAATCAAAAAATTATCACATGAGGGGAAACAGATTATTTTACATTACTAGATCTACCCTAAATTCAGGCTAAAGGAAGTTCTCTAAACAGAAAGGAGGTAATAAAAGAAGGAAACTTGGAACATAAGGAAGGAAAAAAAGAACAGGATATGGGTAAATCTTCAGTTTTCTAAGTTATGATTGAAAATAGAAGGAAAAGAAAATAGAAGGAAAAAATGCTTAATAATATAAATCTAAATGTGTATATATATATATATATATATACACACATATATAGTGTATAGTGTGTGTGTGTGTATATATATATGTATATATGTATAGGATATACATAAGGCAATTATAAACAGAAGTTGAAGAGATGTAAAGGGTAAGATTTCTATACCTCATTTGAACTGGAAAAATGACAGGACCAGTAGACTGATAAGTTATATAAATGTAATGTGCATCCTAGAGCAACCATTGAAAAAGTTTTAAAGTGACATACATTTTAAAATACCATAGATAAATCAAGATTTTATTATAAAAATATTTTGGAAACACACAGGAATACAGTGAAAAGAAAATACAGAAAATAACTATAGAGAACAGAAAAGAAAAAACTTAAATGGCAGCTTAAATTTTACTATATTAAAAATCATATTAAATGTAAATGGTCTAAATATAACAAATAATTCCCAGAATTGGTTAAAAAAACTAATGCAAATACATATTGCCTACAATAATTTGATGCAAATATTGTGATATAGATTATATACACAGATTGAAAAATAAAGAAATTGAAAAAAATATATGTATATCATGCAAACATTAGTAAAAGCAGAAGCATGCTAATACTACATAAAGTAGACTTCAAAATAAAATTATGAGATAGGAGGACATTATATAATGATGAAAGAGCCATACCACCACGAAGACCACTTAAATAAGTATAACCAAACAATAAAGCTGCAAAATGAAACAAGAACTGAAGAGAATTACAGGATAAATAGACAAATACACAGTTGTGGTTAAAGACTTCACCACCACTCTCCCCAAAATTGATAGA